AGAAGCCAGAGTAGTACGGAGGACAAGCAGAGCTACAGAGTCGAGTTTGGAACTGATCAGCCCAGCTGTCAGTGTTTCGACTGGGAAAGACAGAGATTACCATGCAAGCACTTCTTTGCCGTATTTCGTCACTTCTCCTCGTGGTCGTTTGATAACCTGCCAGGTCCATATAAAGATTCCCCATTCTTTACTCTGGACAAAGAATTGTTTGTGCCCTAGTATACAAGTACATGCAAAAATATCGAGCAAGAACCTTTCCTCGGAAAGCTAAACGACCCCGAACTAGTGCTGCGAAATGTCGCGAATTGTTAGGCCAGATAAGGAACATGACCTACATAGTAGAGGGAGTAGAAGATGCAGATGTCCTGGAAAGTGTAATGACAAAGTTCACAGAATGCCACAGGCTTCTTTTACAGGCTGCCCCGAAAGAAGACGGTGTCATTCTAGAGCCCCAAAGTTCGTTCCGTGTGGCAACATCAAAGAAGAAACCCAGAAATAAAGAGCCTCGCCTTAACGAGTTTACCAGTACCTCCCAAGAAGAACCCGTATGCAGGACGTGCTGGAGAAAAGGCAAACACGTTAAAAAGATGCTACAACGTAACGTTGCGTGACATCGAAAATAGCAGGCCACCTAAACACCCCAAACTGGACAAAGTGAATGTCAAGAAAGGCAACAACAGTAATAGACAAACACCAGCACAAGCATCAGCCTCGGTAACTAGCACACAACAACCAGCAGAAGCAGCAGCCTCAACAACTAGCACACAACAACCAGCACAAGCATCAGCCTCAGCAACTAGCACACAACAACCAGCACAAGCATCAGCCTCAGCAACTAGCACACAACAACCAGCATAAGCATCAGCCTCAGCAACTAGCACGCAACAACCAGCACAAGCATCAGCCTCAGCAACTAGCACACAACAACCACCAGCACAAGCATCAGCCTCAGCAACAAGCACACAACAACCAGCACAAGCATCAGCCTCAGCAACTAGCACACAACAAAAACTAGCACAAGCATCGGCACCAGCAATTAGCACACAACAACCAGCACAAGCATCAGCCTCAGCAACTAGCACACAACAACCACCAGCACAAGCATCAGCCTCAACAACTAGCATGCAACAACCAGCACAAGTACCGGCACCAGCAACTAGCACACAACAAAAACCAGCACCTTAAGATTTTTGTCCAGCGGGAGTTGTATCGAGGAAAATATTAAACGGCCAGCAAGATTTGCAGACTACGTTTGTTAAAAGAAAAAAAGAAAAAAAAGAAGACGAACATTTTGATTTACAATTGGACATTATTCGCTTATTTTCAGTTTTGAGAAAGCTAGTTTTTTTTTCTTTATGATCAGTAGGATTTCATTTATGCCGTACCGTATAAGCGTTTTATTTTTTTATATAAAGGGAAGATGTTACAATATGCGTTAGTTTGTTCGATTTTTAATTAATTGATTTGAAAGTTTGCCAAGAACTATTGTGTGACACATGTACAAAAGGTTTGATTGAGTCTCATTAAAACGCATTTTAACCTACACGAGATCGCGTGCACGGTTCATTGAACTTACATCAGCTGACATGCTCTCACACAGCTTATTTTAACAGCAAACAGAGTTTGCTACCGACGTCGCTACCGCAAACTTTGTCTGTTGCTTAACGTTTATATTTTGGCTGGAACGACGTTGTTTTCTTCCCAGGCTCTTTTGGTCACTAAAGTTGTCGTTGCCTCTAAAACGACCCACAATCCTTGTATGGCGAGTTTGATCTTGGTGACATGGAAGGTGATGAATGTTTGGAGTTTCGAGTTAGAAAGAGAGTTTTGGCGACCCTTGCAGAAACTATAGAAATATCAGAAAGCTTTCATTGTCAACAGCGAAGCAAGCTAAATGGTATAGAGGGGCTGTGTATTCTTCTGAGATGGTTTGCCTATCCCTGTCGCTACTCAGACATGACAGACATGCTTCCGCATTTCGGTAGGTCTGTTCCAGTGCTAGGTATGGCTACCGATACAGTTCTGGACTAGATATGTGACAATCACGAACATTTACTTACTGGGTGTAACCCTAATTTGTTAAGTGCTCAGGCACTCGGAGTTTACGCACAGGTCACTGTAAGAAAAGAATCCCCACTTTAAAATTGCTTTGGTTTTATATATGGAACTGTCTGCCCCATTTGCAGACCTTGAAGACACCTGTGTGTTCTATACAATGGCCATAAACAGGTACATTCCCTTAAATCCCAGGCGATCGCTTTACCGAATGGGCTCATAGGAATGTATGGACCTGTGTGCCGATCAGTATGTTGTCATTTTTTTTCCTAGTGGCTATTCGTACGGGACCCGTACATTGACTTGTATTTGCTATTCATACGGGATTGCTGACTAAACTAACCTGATTAGTGTTAAGCAATGACAATACTGCTTAGAGTTTATCAATGAAAACAGTGATTAGGGCTAGGCACTGACCATACTGATTAGGGTTGAGCACTGACTCGAAACGGTTAGCTTCTATTTAGGGTTACGGTTGTTGCTATATGAATGAAAATCAAACTCTACCTAGCAGTGAGTATTCCATGGTTGAGTGGTTAGGCTACAAACTATAGATTCTACGCCCGGGACTGGTTCTCAATTAAATTCATTTTCCTTTTAGAATTTGCCACCGAATTCTTTTTCCTTAAAAATTGAACGGTGGTTGAAGAGACTTACACTTTCATGGAAATTTAATGACCAGAAATTTCAACAGACTTAAAAATTTCATATAAATTTCAAGAAGAGACTTGATCCCGTATGAACAGCAAATACACTTCAGTGTATGGGTCCCATACGAATAGCCACTGGGGTTTTTTTTGGCTATAAACAGCAGTACTTTCCCACGGAAACTGATAATAGTGTCAAACTCTTGAAGGTAGGTTGTTGAGCCTTTTCTTTTTTCCATCATTTGCGTTTGTGATCGACGCTGACTGCAGGATTTCCCGCGCAACTTTCTCAGTTGATGTATACATAGACTACACGCTGACAATTTTTATCCTCAAGACATCATATTAACTTCAAGATCACATCATTTGTGAAAATGTTAAGGTAATATTGTGCAGTCAGCTTACTTGTATAGATTTTAGGGAACCTAATCATTAACTGCTCATGCAGTTCGTGTAAATGACGTTTACCTGCCCCCCCCCCCCCCACCTCGTCCGCCCGTCCCTGAACAATAATGTAGCGCCCGATTTTGAGCACCTCTTAAACCACGCACGGTTAAATATAATATAGTTCCGGCTTATGAAATACTCTCATACGCCCCTTTTTAAACAACTTAAATAGCAGTTACAAGGTTGGTCCACAAACAAAATATGACATTCCAAAACAAATAATTTGGTAAAAATGTAGGGTAAAAATGTGCAGCCAGGTGTTGTTTATTAAGTTTGGGGAACCCATACTTTAACTGCCCATAAAATTTGAGTAAATGACTGTTACCCCCCCCCCCCCCCCCCAACCCTGGCCACGCGCCAGCAAAGACAAAGTTGCCGCGGGATTTAGTAGCCCTTTTAACAGTTGCAGGGCATCAGATAATTTACTGCTTCAGTAGGATTGACCTCACTTTGTCATGTTTAAATATCTTCAAAGGCATTGTAACAGCGTGGATAGCAAATTCTCACAACCATGACAAGTGTACATAAGATTCTTTTGTTAAATTCAGCAGCTGCAAAATATAATTATGGCACAAAAGGCAAAATGTATTTTTCTGTTCAGAGCTAAAGAAATATTCACTAAGTCGTAGTTCTACTCCCATGTCAGTTTACTTGACATGGTCGACACTCAGTCCTAGCAGTTCATTTAAAGATGCCCCAGCTGACTCTCAGATGGCTGACTATAAACCACTCCCACTTAAAGAACTAAACCTAGAGAGTACTATTTAATACTACCCAAAAATGAAAGGAGGACTCTCCTTGGGAAGGATTTCAAGATAACTATTTCTGATGCTTTTGAAAAGTGCACTGAGATGAACAGCTTTCTTGATGATGTCCCAGAAGGCAGTTGATCAGGAACTGTGTCGCCCGTCTAAAAGCATTCAGAATAGCATCTCACAGGGGAGTATTTAATAGAGGCTGCAAAATCATTATCCAAGGAAGTGCCTGTGATGAGAGATGAGTAGTCGCCTTTATGGCCAGGGGAAATTGAATGTGAGTATTGGGTAATTAAGTTATTTTATCTAATGATTTTAGTTTACATGAAAGCTGCTTGAAAAATATCTTATATATTATATTTTGAGATGGAACAAAACAATATCTAGCATCCCACGCAGCGTCTACCAGACAATGATAGCGAACCAAAAGCAACTACTACTTTTCTTATAGAAGTCGGCTGCAATTACTTTTCCCTAAACTGAACTACCTAAATAAAGATTCTAACAGCCCCTTGCTGATATCTTCACTTACTGTACTTAGAACAGCTGCCTTACACCGTAAATCCTCTATTAAGCCCCTCAACCCCCTCTCTTTAAAGTACCTCCTCCCACCTTTAGGTTTGCAGTTGGACTGTATTGAGATTGTATTAAATAACGTTATTTATAAAAACTAACAATTCGCTTAAAGCATGGTACAATTTATTATAAAATCACTCGAGTCTCGTTGACAGGCAGTCCTTGCAGTGAGTCAGAGTAAACATACATCCAGTATTTTTTCTTTATTTTTTATTCTTAAAGCTCCGGATTTGACCATAAATAGATGAGCCCCCCTCCACATCTGGCTCTCTTTAAACGTTCACGGAAAAAAATAAGCCACCTAAAGGGGTCTTCATAGAGGATTGATTGTACTTTACATTGTTTTGAAAACCTTAGCACGCAATGTTACTCGTGGTCGTGGTTACGTCGTGGTTTATGAATGAACGTTTCTTTCTATTTATATGATTGTTTTCCAACATTTCCAACACAATGCTATTCAAATGAGAAAAGTTTCAAGAAAAAGGCCATTCCCCGTGAAGCGTCGGTTGATTATATGAACATGAAACATGAAAGGAACTTAAAAAGGAACTGGACAGCAAGGAAAAAAAGGAACATCCATTGGAAAACGGAACAACTAAAGGCCCTCACCTTCATAGCACGTACTGAGGAAATTTCAAACATGACTGGTCGCAATGCTGTCAGTGATATGCTTGAAAAATTCCCTTATTTGGAGTATGAAAAAGTGGTAAGGATAAATATTTGTTAAGAACACTGTAGCCTGCAAGCAAGCTCTCCTGGGGTGAGAGCTTCTTCCATTCCCCGAGAGAGCTTGCTCTCATAGACTTCATTGTCTCTGTAGTGGGGCCTAAGAACTGCTAATAAACTGCAAACAGATAACCTTTACGATTCAGGACACAAATAGGGAGCTGCACTGTGTGGACAGAAAAAAAGGAGGGATTACTTAATGTGTTGAAAAGTGCTTTCCACAACACAGAGAGATGAAAAAGCTCTATGAACTATAACTAACGTCAGGAATCATTCCACATCTTAACACTCTGCATTCATAGATAAATGGGTGTTAAGGCAACCACTAAAGAGTTATGTCAGTAAATGTAAGGCAAATATAGCAATCTCAATCAGTGTTCTATACAATGTATGACGGTTGTATATTATTAGTGCCCAATTGAACACCTTTTCTCTATTGAAATTCAGATGATGCGTGCGCTGGTACTTCAAATCTCAAAGCTCTCAGGATGAAACCTTTTTCAGCACTGGAGCACTCTATCAGAATGCTTTCTAAAAAAACAAGACATTAGAGGTCAGTGGTAAGTGCTAATAAAAAGAACCACTCCCAATTAAAGGGCAACTCTCAGGAAAATTAACCCTGTTTTATAAGCTTTCTCTGGTTTCCTTATGGCCTGTAATATACCTCTCTGGTGAAATTTGTCGCACACTCGCTCTTTGACGCCATTTTGAAAACACTCGGATCTCAAATCGATCACGCGATTTTACGTCACAAGTGCGGAACATGAATTGTTTTATGAAGATTATAACAGGGAAACGCACCCCATTTCTCTAGCGAATAAAGGAGAAATAGAGCCTCAACCGTTATATTAACGTTCGCGAAATGCATTTCAAAGATGGTTTCAGGTTCTTAATATACCTGGATATTAGATTCGGCGATGTAGATTTTTTTCGCTTCTTTTTTGGTAGTGTGATTTTGAAGTGGCATGAGACATATCCACCTGAGGTCAATAATTGTCAACAGCTGAGCTAATAATCTGCACCGTACAATTCAAAGAGCATTATTCCTAAAGATGTAAAATTCTGAAGCAACCATTAATGCTAACTGATGGGTGTTGATGCCCTTTATTCCTCATGAATGACTTGATTTACTCCAGGGAAAAGCTCTACGTATCTTTGAAGAGAACTCCGTCACAGGCCGCCGTAGACAACCCGATCTGATTCATGATACTGACCTTTTGTGTTTTGATTTTAGTGGGTTGTAACCTTGTCTCAAATCTGCTGTACCATCCCTTTAGCCCTGCTTCTAATTCACTTCTCCCAGAAAGTTACGATTTAATGATTACTATTACTTTGAATGATGACCTCATGTAAGAATCTTATCAAGTTATTTGAGTTGCGCTCTCAAGATTGAGGCATCAATCTATTATGAAACCTGCCCACTATAAAACTGAAGTGATAGCATGCGTGCATCACTTCTTTGCAATACTTCCCCTTCCCCAGACCGTCGTAGACACCCCGACCTGATTCATGATACTGACCTTTTAGGTTTTGATTTTAGTGGGTTGTAACCTTGTCTCAAATCTGTTGTACCATCCCTTTAGCCCTGCTCCTAATTCACTTCTCTCCGAAAGTTACGATTTCATGATCACTATTATTTTGAACGATGACCTCATGTAAGAATCTTATCAAGTTATTTGAGATGCGCTCTCAAGATTGAGGCATCAATCTATTACGAAACCTGCCCACTATAAAACTGAAGTGATAGCACGCGTGCATCACTTCTTTTGCAATACTTCCCCTTGGGACACAAGTAGGGAAAAAAAATCATTAAACCGGTATTTAAATCCGCATCGCAGTAGTTGTGGAAAACTCCTTGAAGGACAAAAAGAGACCACGGGAGCGAGAGAGAAGAGAGGGAAACCAGGCAAGCGCTGCGCGGTTATGTTTTGTAACAACACCAGCAGAGAGGGAGTAAGTCTCCACCAGTTTCCCACCAATGAACCCTTTTGGCGCCAGTGGATTGCTTTTGTCTTAGCAAAGAGGGATGATGACTGGACGCCGGAATCTGGTAATATTTGCAGTTCACATTTTATGCTAGACTGTTATGAAGGAATGGATGCAAAACTCACAGGGTTTGCTAAGAAGGCTCATCTGAAGAAGACAGCCATCCCCACAATTCAGGCCAATCCCACCCCTGGACAAAATCAGGAAGCGCTTTCTCTTAAGAGAAAATGTACACCTGCGGCAACGCAGGGTGATTCAAAGTGGCAAGTTCAACAAAAGGGGGATATAACACCAAAAAGTCATCAACATAGATCCAGTCGAGCCTTGTCTAAACTTACCGCTCAACGTTGTGTTTCTTGTTTAGATAGCTTGGATGAATAAAAAGTTTCTAAATAATCTAAATCTTTTACGGGATCATAATCAAAACGCGACAATGTGTCTATACGATACAATGATACGATTTACTGAAATCAGGCAAAAGGTTATGGCGGAACACACCAACAAAAAACTGCTCTCGTTTACAAAGTTAATGTGTGGAGTTTTTTTTTTTTAAAACAAAACATTCTTTGGTTATTACGGCTAGTGGTAGATTATAAGAAGACGCGAAAAAAACAAAAGACCACTGATAAAGTACCAGGACCATCCAAAAGTGACAACAGACAACCAACAAGTAACAATCAACCTGAAGTTTCCCAAACCACGGATCTTGCACAGCCCTCAACAAGTACATCTGGTGACACTTAGTGTTCAGAGATTGGTGCAGGGCAAGAAGAACGAAGTCAGGCTCGGGAGTTTCAAACAGCTAACAAGGGAACTCACAAAGGACTTTGCCGCCCAATCTGTCGCAGCAAAGGTAGATTTTAGTCTTAATTATATAGTAAAAAATAAACGTGTTTACTAAGGGTTTAGCCATCTTTTCAAACATTCTTTGCAATGAGACTATTTTTGGTGATGAAGGTTTTTAATCAGAGGTACCCAGATTTCTCTAAAGTCCAACACAACGGTGAAAAATGGGACTCAGTGCTACATAGCAAAACTTCCTCCATTAATACTGCTCCCAACTTTATGTAAGGAGGCAGAAAATCAAACAGATTATGCACCTACGCCGGAGCTACCCCGCGTCCTTTGAAGACGAGTTGTTTGAAGACCTTGACGTTGATGATGAAAGTATAATCCTTACTTAACATCCAAGGGAGATGAAGACGAAGGTGGTAGTAGAGATGAAAAAGAATCTGGAAAGTGAGGATGGTAAAAAAAGTAAAACACAAGCCGTTGAAGAGTATTCATAAGCTGCAGTAACACCGGCTTGATTTAATCTCTGCACCACTCTGTATCTTTCCTTTTTAACATATCTGCTCAAAGGAACAAGTATAACCCCTATTTCTGTAGTCTCCGTTTACTATACTGAATGTTTCATTCTTGTTATTGCTAATATAATGCAGATCTATTGAAGAAACGTAAAAGTTGAAGCCACATAAGGAAAGGAAATTTATTGTCTTCGAAACAAATCTTTTGAGCTTGTTGCCCCATCTGTGCTGGCCACGCAGAGGCTAAAATCTCGAAAGAAATCAGCACCATGAGTCAGGTTCAGCAATGTGTGGTGCAGCCAGCCATTTTCTAAAGAAAAAAGATGCCAGTTGGGAACTTGTTACTTTCCTCTTCAATTCTTTTGACGGGTAAGTCTCTCCATGGTGTTTTTTTTAAAAGTTGCGTTCTAGGCGTGGTCCGTTGAAGACTTAAAAGACAGGAAATGTGGCTACTTAATGGTCTTGAACAAAATGAACATAATATGACAAATCTGTAATTGGTTCCTGCAGGAGAAAGTTAAATAGGGTGAAGGTCGCAGTATTTGTTTTCTTTTGTCGCAGGAAATTCGGCTGCTAAAACCTTATGGATGTTTTACATTATGAACGTGGCATGCATATCAGAGAGCACATACTACCGTCACATCAAATCGTACGTAAATTCCACCAATATACAGCAGTGGAAAGCACATCAACAGCATCTCTTTAATAGTCTTAGTAGTCAGGATAACGGACTGGTTCTGGCTGGCGATGGAAGGAATATCAATGTTTTTTCTCATTTCATTACGTTTTATTATTGTGTTTCATTTTATTACGAGCGGGTTCGCACAAATAAAATGAATCCTGTTGACTTTTTCAGTTGTTGAGGAAATGCTATTGTTTGAAATGTCACCACTTCAAGAATAAATACCATTGGGGCAAAGGGATGTTGCCAGTGATGTGAAGTTTTCTCACTTTTTGTTGGAAGAAATTATTATGGTATTATTTTGACATTAGCTTATTGTTTTCAAGCTGTTGATAAAATGTGGTTGTTTGAACGAATGGAAAAACTAGAGCAGCGTGGACAGAGAATAGCTTCTGAGACTTTTTCAAGAATGGAATTTAAATAGAAATGTTATGGCGCTCATGACTGACTATATGACTATTGCACGAGCCATGTGCCTTAGGCAACAATTGAATAGAGTGTTATCTCTTTGTTTTTAGCATTTCATGGACTCTTGAGGCTTGAAGTAAAGAAGGAGAAAGAGGATAGTTTTTCAGTATTTACGGCTTGGCGTCAATTGGGTCAAGAAAGTGAATATGAGTCCTGTTTTCAAGTGTATAATTTTTTGCGTATTGCTAGGATGTTATTAACACACCAGAATAGGCATAAATTTATTGTTTGAGGGTGACATAGAATACACTCTTTTGCACATGTGATATTTGCGCTGATAACGTGATTGAATTAATAAAATGATGAACTTTGGAATAAATGTGTCAGTGTCATTTTACTTGGGCGGGGCTAATTATAGAATTCAAAAATGGGAGTGAAATAGGGTTTGCAGTAATCATGGAAGAGAAAGTAGTACACTCCCTTGTTTGGATCTGCACTGAATCGATGTCATGGGAGACGAAAGAAAAAATACTTGACAAGTTTTGTTTTAAACATCCCATTTTTCATGAAGTTGCTTTGTACGTGGCTGAAACGAAACCCCAGTCGGAGTTGGCGCTTAAAGTTAGTCAAAAATTACCGTGGAATCGTTCCCGAAAGATTGACTTTGAACGTCATTGGGCGAAATGGAAGCTGAAACACCTCCCATTCCGTTTGATGAGTGTCTGAGCGAAACAGAAACTCAAACTGATGTTATTTCATCCCCCGCTCCTTTTGGTGGCATGATGGAAGAGCAAACAGACTCATTGTGGTCGACGATTGATTTGAATGAAGAAGTAGGTAACGACTGTTCCAAGGAAGATGCATTGCAGGCGTTTGTCAATAAATTGTTAACATATGTATTTTTTGCAAATGATTTATTAAAATTACTTTACACGCCTAACTTGACTTTGGCATGCACTACGTTTTTCACAATACGTTGCGTGTGGGTTTTACGCCCAGGTAATTTGTTGATTCGAGCAATCATGGTACGATCAGCCTTGTGCTTGTCCTTTAAGTGGCGGGCTTTACTGTAGTCGATGTCATGCTGTTTGGCAATTCTGTCCAGTTGATTGATGCCTGGATCTCCACGCGCCAAACGTTTTTTTAACTTGGTGCCTGGCCCCATGTACTGATATACTGGTTCCTGAGGTTCTTATTACGCGTCGGGTTCATGACTTGTCAACAGCACCTCACGCCTAGCAGCCACATCAGCAGCCTTGTTCAACCGTCCATCCTCCACCAATTCCTGTTTGTACTTGTCTTTCAATCCCACAAAGGCAGGAAAATCAGACACTGCTGTGCTCGTCAACTCACTCATGACCACGTTTGACATTTTACTCACACTGCAAGCATCTTTTATAACATCCCAACTCTTTCCACAAACTCCCGCCCGTCTGTTCCATCATCCATTTGCGTCTTTTTTTCAACGAATTGCGAGGATTGGCCTCGCAATTACTTGGGCGTGTGGGCGTAACACCTTGACTGTGTTTCGACTACGTAGTACAATCCCTTTGACCAGTTCACTAACGGCATTGATTTAATCAGCATTGGCCAGTCTCAATAATTCGTTTCCAACCCTATTCAAGACTACCCACTTGATTTGAATCCCTAATAGTCCTCTATTCAATTACTTTTGGTTTTTAAAATATTCACCAATCAATTGATAAGTCCTACTATTCAAAGGGTTGAATGAAGAAGCCCACCCTTTTTTTGTGGATGAAACCACGCTAACGCCATTATTATAATGCTTAATTTTTAACGTGAGAAGCATGTCGTATTATTTACAGAAAAAAACAGCGTACCTACTGAGGCAGTTCCTTGAAAGATCTTCCAGAAGAGTGCGACTACTTTCAGTTATTACCCAATGAAATTCAAAGAATTATTTATCAATACATGATTGGAAGTCAACTACAAGAACAGAAGCAACCCCGATGGCCTAGCCTAATGATGGAAATCCAATTGTTACCTTTTTGTACTGCACGTCAATTCATCATACCACCCCCAATGACTTTCAACTCAGCTGTCTGTTCCCCTACGGCACTGGGTGCCATTTCTGCAAAATAAAACAAAGAACCAGGTATTGCGAGCACAGCCACCTTGACTACTACCCTTAAGAAGTGGACCATGACCGGTATGGAGCTTAAAAACCAGCATTTCTTCATAAAAGTCAATAATTCAAAACAGATAACAACAACAAAAAAAAAAACAGTTTACTTTTCCATCTTCTATAGGCATAAAAAAGAAAAATTGACCGGGCCAGAATGCAGCAAAAAAACACTAGACAGTTAGTTCAAAAGCTTAGGAAAGATATACGACCAAGTTATATTTTTCGCTACTTACCATACAACATGACAGATCAAACAATAATCAAGTCAACTGATCAACGGTGGGCCCATCCTTTTGAACCGCCATCAGCCATTTTAACCCTCTCATCAGCTAATCATTTTAATCGAGGCCATCATAATCCATGTTTTCCTCAGGTCAAGTCTCAATTTACACGAGATTTTAACCTCTCACATGCTCTTAACCTTAACAGAACTAACATTTGTCGACTGTGATGATTATGAGATTGTCAGACAAGGATATAATGCCCGACACGGTCATTTTTACCTATATGTTTTCGATGTAAAAGAAGTCATCAGGTATTCAAAAAGCAAACAGCTGACAACTCGAATAGCCATATATTATTCACAGTTTCCATCGCTTAGGGATCAACTTCAGATTATTACAGCTTATCCATATGAACTGATTTTTAAGCATTCTTCTACGTTTTACATGATTGTTTTGTTTTGTTTCTTGTTTTTAATCCGTACGTTTTTTCTCTGACAGAAATATCAAGAAAGAAAACACAAAACCGGCTCTTTTAGGAGCCACCACATTTAAATAAAAGTCAGTAATTCATTTCAGAATCCGAGGATCAAACCTCGCTCCCTCAACAAGCAAACAGTCGACAACTCAAATAGTCATATATTATACACATTTTCCATCTTTTGGGCATCAATTTCAGATTATTACAGCTTATCTGTATGAACTGGCATGTAACTATTTTTCTACGTTTTAAATGATTGTTTGTTTCTTGTTTTTAATCCCTATACTTTTCCTTTGACAGAAATATCAAGAAGACACAAACCAGCTCTTTTAGGAGCCATTACATTTAAATTAAAGTCAGTAATTCATTTCAAAATCCGAGGATCAAACCTCGCTCCCTCATGTTTAATTTTATATTAATCGAGGCCATCATAATCCATGGTATACTAAGGTCAAGTCTCAATTTACACGAGATCTCAACCTCTCACATGCTCTTCTAACCTTAACAGAACTAACTTTTGTCGACTGTAATGATTATGAGATTGTCA